AACACTAGCTAAAAGCTAAATGAAACATTTCACTAGAACACTAGCTGCAAGCAAAAACAATTAAAATATTAGCTTAAAGAAAAAAAACACTAGCTAAAAGCTAAATGAAAAATTTCACTAGAACACTAGCTGCAAGCAAAAACAATTAAAACAGCTTAAAGAAAAAAAACACTAGCTAAAAGCTAAATGAAAAATTTCACTAGAACACTAGCTGCAAGCAAAAACAATTAAAACAGCTTAAAGAAAAAAAACACTAGCTAAAAGCTAAATGAAAAATTTCACTAGAACACTAGCTGCAAGCAAAAACAATTAAAACAGCTTAAAGAAACAAAACACTAGCTAAAAGCTAAATGAAGCATTTCACTAGAACACTAGCTGCAAGCAAAAACAATTAAAACGGCTTAAAGAAACAAAACACTAGCTAAAAGCTAAATGAAGCAGTTCACTAGCTAAACCTAACAGAACACTAGCTACAAGCCAAAATAATTAAAACATTAGCTAAGAGAAACAGATCATTAGCTAAAAGAGGAAGTTAAACTACACTGCCTAGAAGCTAAAAGAATCAGGATCATTTTTAGCTAAAAATGCAGAACATTAGCTAAAAATTAAAGCACACTTGCTGAAAATTAAAATAAGCAAAACACCAACTACTGTAGGCAGAACAATAGCTAAGAAAGCAGATTATCAGCTGAATAAAGCAGAACTCTATAGCTAAAAGAAAAAAAAAACATTTTAAAAATAAAATAAGCAGAACATTAGCTGAAAGAAGCACAACACTAGCTTATAGGAACAGATCATTAACTAAAAGCTAAAAGGAGAAGAAGCTAAAACACACTAGCTACAGTAGAAGCTAAACGAATCAGAACATGACCTAAAAGCTTAAAGAAAAGGAACACTAGGTGAAAACAAAACAAAAAAMAGACCARCATTAAAATAAACTGATGGCTGGCTAAAATCTAAAATGTCAAAAAGCTAAAACACACAAGGTAGAAGCTAAAAGAGTCAGAACACTTGCTAAAAGCTAAAAAAGGGAAGAACATAGCTAAAAATCAAAGAAGCAAAACACCAGCAGAAAGCTTAAAGGAGCAGGCCACCACATTTTATTGTACCGTAACTGCTGCTTAAAGCTCTATCACACAAAGAAGCCGTATGTAAACACAATCCAGAACCGTTAAAATGGACCGAAACTGTTCTCTGGTCAGATGGAGACAAATTTAAAATGATGTTAGGAAACCATGTCCTCCACACTAAATGAGCCTGCCTCTCTGATGGTATGGGGGTGCATTGGTACCCCTGGCACAGGCAGCTTTAACACAGATTAGTAAATGCAGGTTTTAGGATTTTTTTTTTCTCTTTCAACAAAGACGATCCAGAGCTGTAGAACATCAGAGCAGAACCGGTCTCCTCAGATCCTGGAGGCCTCTCAGAGGGAAACGTGAACTTGGACCAACCAGGTCTGATGGACCTCTGCACTTTTTTACATTTAAGACTTTCAGCTTCAGTTTTTCTGATTTGTCTTTTACTTTTTTTACATGTGCTGCTGCCCAAAACTCAAAMTCTTGTTTTTAAAAGTATTTTATGTTTTTTATGTTTAAGTGTGAATAAAATGTGAATTYATTTGATTTGCAGATCGTTGGAATCTGTGTTTGTTTGAATTTTACGCAACTTTGTTTTTTCTGGAGCCGTTCTTGACTTTGGGACCAGAAGTGTCTGATGAGAGGACTCTGGGTCCTGCAGACTGAGGACTTACTTCTCCCGCCGATCTTCATGAAGGAGACCAGCTCCTTGTAGTCCGCCTCCCCCAGGTAGGGTCGCGCCTCCACGGTCATGTTCATCTCCTGCTTCAGGTTCATGTAGATGCCCTCGGACAGGAAGTAGTGCGGCCGGTCGTCCTCCCGCAGGTCGTAGAAGACCACCACGGCCCGGGACGTCCAGTTGAAGTGTGTGTGCAGCGCGTTGGCGAAGTCCCCCATCTTGGTGGTGGTGGGCCCGCTGCGCACGATGGTCCGGTACTCCTCGCGCTCGTCRAAGCCGTACGCGGGGCCTCCGGCGGTGATGAGCGGCAGCTTCCAGTGGGACGCGAACCGGGCCACGGAGGCCAGCGGGTACACGCAGCCCGGCCCGAAGAAGACGTCYGGCCGGATGTAGAGCTTGGCGTCCACCGCCAGCACCTGCGCCCGGCTCTCCGCACAGGAACCCGCCGCAGGGTCCTCCGTGCTGTAGTTCAGGATCTTGATGGTCCGACCCAGCAGCAGCTTGTGTTTGCCGTGCAGGTCCTCGTGCGCCATGAGGATGGCCGGCAGGACGCGCGGCAGAGCCCACGGGTACTTGTGGTAGTTGTCCGGGAGCATGACGGCCGCCGTGATGTTGCTCCTGCAGCCGCGGAGGAGGCAGCAGGACACCGCGGCCAGCAGGCAGCAGCCCAGCGCGCAGCTGCTGCTGCTGCTGCTGCTGCGTGCCATCTCCGGGTCCGAGCGGAGCGCGCGGCGTGGATAGCAGAGGAGACCCGGCTCAGTCGCTCCAGACCCAAAACTAATCTCCCCGTCCGCTTCAGAAACCCCCCAGAGGCAGCAAAGGCGTCATCCGGTCCGGGTGTGCCATGCGTCCCCGCTGCGTAAAATCCACAACTTCTTCCAGTTTCCAGCGCGGTGCGCGCTCCTCACACTCCAACACACACTCCGAGTGGGAACATCCATCCAGAGGAGTGCAACTTAAATCACAGCTCGGCCCCCACACGTCACGCGCTGCAAAAAATACAGAAATWCACTCCTTACAGCAGATCAGCTGTTTCTGCTCAACTTCTCCAACATTTCYGCTTTGATTTAACGAACTCTGATTTAAATAAAGCAAAACTCTGACTYACATTAGTTTTACTTAAATACAAACTGTTTTTATCAGAAGAGTTTTAGTTTTTTGTTCTGTTCATGTTTGTAAAAGAAATAAGACTTAAAGTAAAAAAAAAACCAAACTAAAAGACACTTTTTGCAGCGTCCGGTTCAAACAGACAGGGATGAGTCGCCCCCTGCTGTCAGTCTGAAGTACTGCAGCATCATTTCTGTCCGGTGGGAAATCTGGTTATCAGCAGAGTGACAGGTAAATACAAGCAAACAGGATAACACACACAATATTTAAAAATAATATAGTTTTAAAGAATTAGTAAATAGAGAACATTAGCTGAAAGGTGTAGAATATCTAACACTTTAAAAAGTTCTATCCAGATATTGGTACAGGAGAAGACAGTGTATAATTCATCACTTGAAGTGCACAAAGTGACAAAAAAAAAGGCAAAATAAAATGGTTAAAAAATGACACTAATYATATTTTCAAATAAAACATTTTTATTTCCTCTCTTTGATACGTTAGTTTAAAAACCACCTCAGGCTTTTATACTTCACATGTTTATTGTAACATTTATAATCAGATGAAACATCTTTAATGCAGCAGTGACTTTTAWTAGTGGCTAAAAAAGCAGAAATATATTTTTGCACATGTTCATCATATCAGAGCTCTTTAGAACAAAACAAATAAAAAAATAAATGAGGGGTTAAACYGGAGCTACAGCTAAACCCAGCTTTATAAAACTGATCATTTATTCCAGTTCAGTTTATCTGAGTTCTGTTCGTCAGCATCAGTGATTTAAAGACAGTTTCCCTCCTCACTCCTTCAGCCAGGTGAGCAGCTCAGGTGTGTAGTAGGTGATGATGATGTCAGCGCCTGGTTCAAATAAAACAATAAAAACAGATCTTTGTGATTAATCCTTACAGCCTGGAAACAAATGTTTAAATAAAGCAACTCTGAGGGTTTATTTGCTCCTTGGGGGTCTCGTCTCACCTGCCCTGCGGAACGCCGTCATGGCTTCCATCACGGCGGCCCTCAGCTCGAATGCTCCGGCCTTGGCTCCGTGCCACATCATGGCGAACTCTCCGGACACGTTGTACACCGCCAGAGGGTGGTTGGGGAACTGAAGGTGAAAAAAACAAATTAAAAACAAAATTCTGTATGTTTTATTGTTGTTTTGTTTCCCCTCCAGCCTGTGACGGTGGCTGACCTTGTCTTTGACCTCTCTGATGATGTCCAGATACGGCAGGCCTGGTTTCACCATCAGCATGTCTGCTCCCTCCCTCACGTCTCGCTCCTGCAGCGCCCAGCACCAACAGTCACCCACAGCCGCTTCGACCACAAACACCCACTGATAACAACCAACTCACCACAGCTCGCAGGGCAAGTCCTCTGGCTCCGGGGGGCAGCTGGTAGCAGCGGCGGTCTCCAAACGCTGGCTTAGACTGAGCAGCATCTCTGAACGTGAAGACAACAGGAAGTCAGAAACACACCTGTGATCTTTTTCTGCCACCACAGACTGACCTTTGAGTTCAAACACATGTATAACACACGTATAACACACGTATAACACGTATAACACACGTATAACACACGTATAACACACGTATAACATGTATAACACACGTATAACACACGTATAACACACGTATAACACA